GACATTTTCATAGATAAAGAACTTGCTAATTAGACGCCCCATTCCCTCCTTCACATTACCTCCAGTGAAATAACTCCAAATACTCTTTTGACGTGCTTTGGATGACTTATATAAACTTGGGGCTATTGGTGGTGTTGGTTGTGATTCTCTAAGACTGCCTCCCCATCTCATTTGTGCACCACCACTTGTCCTGGAACCTTGTGCTCTATTAGGAATTTTATGAAGGTGTTCTTTTTCCCATGCTGACTGTTTGGAGGCACGTAATGCTTATTTCAAACTGCGTCGTTCTTCAAGTCCCATGTCATCATCACATTCGTCCTCATCGTCATCATCATCACTGTCAACCGTTTGGCCATAGACTTCCCCTCGTAGTCCAGCTCGAATATTTTCCATTCCATGTGTTATCTTTTCCTTCTGCTGTTTTTTATTTTTTAATCATGTGCTGATGAATGCCTTCACTTATGGGGGGACATTATCGCATTGTTGGACATTTTTTGCTGGATCTAATCCACTAAGATGGTACTTAAGTCGTGTCACTCCGCCACTCTTCATTACCCGACCACAATATTTGCAAATTGTGCCATGTTTGTTTCCATCTATTGGGTCTCCATATTCCCAAGCTGGATCACGTTTAGTAACTCCACTGGACATCTTAAACGTATCTATATTTATTTTTCATGAAAATTAGACAATTATTTTTTGGCCAAAAAATATAGTAGTGATGACGGTTATATAAGAGAACCTAAATAATAAAGTTATTATACAGAAGAATTAAATACGAAGTAAAGAAAATGATTGTAAAAATTTAAGTAATTATAAAAATAATATGGAATAATAAAACCTAATATTAATGAATAATAATCCAATTTGATAAAAAAAATAATCCTAATATAAAACATAGTGATGAATAATAATCCAATTTGATAATAATCCAATTTAATGAATAATCCAATTTGATAATAATCCAATTTAATGAATAATCCAATTTGATAATAATCCAATTTAATGAATAATAATCCAATTTGATAATAAAAAAAAACCTAATATTAATGAATAATAATCCAATTTGATAATCAAACCTAATATTAATAAAATAATAAATAACATTAAACATATTAAAATTATCCTAGGGAATAATTATACAACATTACTTAATTACTTAAAAAAATTAACATGTAATTGTTAACATTACTTAATTACTTACAAAAATTAACATGCAAGTATTAATTACTTAAAAAAATTAACATACGAGTCCACACAAATTTTTTTGTTGTTGTATAAATTACAATAATATAAATATAAGTTTGTAAACTTACTTTAAATATGGAACCTTTGTGTTCAAGCTCTGGAATGAATCTAGAATGGCTTTGAAAGGGGTAAGGGAAGAAGAAGAAACGAAAATGCTCTGATACTCCACCTCTGAGAATGTGAAAGAATATCACAGACTCACAGTGGCACATGGTTTTGAATGTGAAAGAATATCACAGACTCACAGTGGCACACGGTTTCATTATGAAAGCATTATTATTTTTGTCCATGGTCTGTGATTGTAAAAGTTGTCAGGTGAGTGAGTCAGATGACCCAACCACACACACACACCGACACACACACACACCGACACGCCACTACACATGCACACAACACAACACAACACACGAACACAGTCTCTCTCTCGGTTATTCTCTCTTCTTCTCTGATCTCCCTTCTCCCCCTTCTCCATTCTCCCACACACACACACAGATCTCCCACACACATGCACATAGACCCAAGGTCTCTCGATCCTTCTCCCACATCGCCTTCTGCTCCTCCCTCGTCGGCGCCGTCTCTCTTCTTTCTTTCTGCACCGAGGGTCCGAGACTCACATACACACAGGCACACCATCGCACCTGCTTCAGGAAGACACCCATCATCATCAGCAACCTCGTCTTTCTCCCTCTCCTTCTCGTCTCTGTAACTCGGCGAACGCAGGAACTCCGGCGAGGTTCTTGAATTTCTCCGGTTAGGTAAGCTTCGGGTTTGACTCTTTCTGTTCTAGATTGAAGCTTATATGTGAAATTTAAGTTCAAAATCGTGTTTTTGCAAGGTTTTTGGGATGAAATCAGCTCGGGAATAGGCACACCCATCTCCGGCGAGGCCGTGGGTGTCGACGAACTTTCCAAACACCTCCGACCGTTTCACAGCAAACGAACTTTATAAAAACATTCATCTCGTCTTCTATTTCATTTTGATACCTAGATCGGAGTCTAGGGTGCTCTTTTACAGTCGGCCAGAGCTGTAGAAGCTCCGGCATTCTTCTCCGGTTCTTCTCCGATTAGCACAGTTCGAAAATATCGCAATAGTTTCAAAAATATCGCGATATTATCGATAATATCGCGATATTTTGACGAAAACCCGTTAGATGCCTATTAAAATATCGTTACCGTAAAAAACCGATAATATCGGCGAAATATCGTCGATATTATCGGCATTTAAGACCTTGGGTACAAGAGTGTGCTGCATAGAGCTGTGGTAAATTGTAATTTGGGGAGGATATCGATCCCAACTTTCTAATGTCCAGCACTAGATGCAATGATTGGGCCTGCCAAGGAGCTCATCAACCATGACTATCCAGCCATGTTTAGGAACTTCACATATGCTGAATACTTCAAAAAATTCTGGAATAGAGGACTTGCAACTGAGTGTTGCTTAGACTTGTTCAAACCCATGTGAACATGTTATGTCTTTTTTTTTAAGAAAAACTAATAAAAAGAGCTTGAAAACTTTGAGTTTTAACGATAAGGACAAAATAAAGGGTAAAGTGAATAGTACTAGGTTTGACTTTTTAGTGTAAAAATATGGTTTTTCGTTAAAGTGAATAGTACCGCAGGCTTTTCGTTAAAATTTCCTTTTTAATTAAGTGCAAAAATTACCTTAAAAAATGGTCTATTTATCTGGAATAGATATTGAAATTATTTCGACTCTTGATTTTTCTTAGGTTTATTAATATATATATATATATATATTTTTTTTTTTTTATTGGTAGAAAGGTTTATTAATATATATATATATATATATATATGTGAATTCAAATTACAATCTATAAAATATGACTATGATGTTGGTATTATTGATGTCGATTCGAATTTCCTACAACTATTAGTTTTATTTGAGAATATGGCTCAAGGCCATGACTTGAAGGGCTCCTTACTCCGTTCAGTCACGAATTGTCACATGCTATGTTTTTGGTTAATATCCAAGTGTTCAAACTCAATAAATAGTTATTTAACTCATTAAAGGAATAGAAGAAAATAAGATAAGAACATCTGCGAATGGGGGATTGAGAATCCTAGAGCTTGGGCCAAGTATAATACTTGAGGTAGAAACACAATGGTCACCCACAATAATTTAGTATCAAACTCGATTTTCACAAAAGTCGAAGTTGAGACCTCACGCTTATGAAATGTTCAGAAAAATCACTAATCTATGATCTTTTAATTAAAAGAAAATACGTGACATTTCTTTGTTTTCTAAAAGAAAACTGACTTTGAAATAAATAAATAAATTGTGTAGTCAAGCCCCCAAAGACAGAAGGTAACACAGATTAGTCTCATGTCACAATTTCTTCAATTAGCAACTAAGAACATCAGAATCTGATGAAGTTGAAAACCCTTTTCACCTCTCACGTTTATATAATTTTTCACAGCAATATAAACCAGCATTCCAAACAAAAAATGGAAACTCCAAAAGAAGGAAAAAAACAGATGAAAATCTCCACCATTAATGGAGAAGAGGAAGCTCACTCCCAATATGCAATGCAATTGGTAAGCAGATCAGTATTGTCCATGGTGCTTAAAGCCAGCCATAGAGTTTGGTGTGCTCGACATTATACACAGAGATTGCCCCGGAGCCCTGCTTTCGCCTTCCCAAATAGCTTCTCAGCTTCTATCTCTCCACAACCGGGATTGCAGTCTGACACGTGTGCAAAACTTTTTCCATTTTTTTTTTTAAACGAATTACTTCAGTATACATATCAGACTATGATTTGCAGGTAAAGAGCTGAACATGTTCTTTTCCTTTGCATCATCAGTGTGGTCATATTCATGTCACCATTTCTGCAGGTACCATTTGAAAGATGCAGTTTTGTTGGGAGGGCTCCCATTTAGCAAGGGCTATGGAAAGAATGTGGTGGCGTACATTGGGAGGGATGAAAGATTTGGTGGAGTGTTTTGACTCAATGAAAGAGTTTAACCCCTTTTTTATGAAGAAAATTCCGGAGATCTATAAGGGTTTGTAAATGTGGGTGGTGGTGATGGTACTATTCTTAACACGATAATCTCCAATCACCCTGCCATCAAGGGCACCAACTAAGATTTTCAGTCTCACTCGAAAAATCTCCCTCCCGTCCGGTATGAGGTAAATTTTTTGGTTAGCATCGGACAATCTCGTGTAGCTCTTTGTAGTTCGCTTTGCTTTGCTAACTTACGGAAGAGTTTTGCTTCAGGTATGGAGCACACTGCAGGAGATATGTTTGTGAGGATTCCGAAAGGCAATGCCATTTTCATGAAGGTGAGGTTTCTGAGAATTATTCAACTCCTTATTTGTAGAGCATGTTCAAAAGCAAACATCTACTTTGGATGAGATAATCCTTTTTGTCAAAATTTTCTATACTACTCTTACCCCCTACATTTTAGTTTCATGTTCAAAAACCCAATATCATTCGACTAGTTGCACTTTCGACAACTTTCAACTTATGCAAATGACGATCGATGCTTGATGATACTGAAGAATTGCTAGAATTTTGTTTCAGTTTGATGTGTACCTAATGAATATCAATGCGATGGGGAAGGAGAACAGTGAGAGAATTACAAAAGTTTGGGAAAAGAAGCAGGATTTTCAGACATTCGAGTTTCTTGTTCCACTTTTTAAGAATATGTAGTTTCCAGTTGGAGATGTTTCGTTATTGTAATCTTTTGTGTTTCAAAGACATTATACTAAACTTTCATGCATTCACGCGATAAGTAGATTTAAAAACAAGGAACTTAAGAGCAAACCAATGAGATAACAGATTATGATCTGTCAACCGTGGGGAAAAAATTGAAGTCTTAAAACACCAAACTGACCTAATTATAACGGTTGGGCATAGACAAATCGTCTCTCTCCAGCATTACTGTCGCTCTATCTGAATCGTTACATGACTGATATTATATTCTCTCTTGATGTAGTCTATAACCTTTTCCAGCACCACATCAGCATTAGCATCCGACTTAACGATAACATGACAAGCCATTAACACCTTCCCAACAGTTATTGCCCATATGTGCAGCTCGTGAATGGCAATTACCTCGTCCATCTCGCAGAGACCTTTCTCAATCTTTGTGGCATCAATCTCTCTAGGAGTACTCTCCATCAAAACCTCCAAAATGTTCCTCAACATCCGGATTGTTGTCGCCAGCACGATTATTGAAAATACAAGGGTACATATCAGATCAATAATCTTCCACTCAGGCTTGTACCAGATAATCCCTCCACCAATCATCACTCCAATACTCTGAATGGCATCGCCAAGTACATGAAGATAAGCCCCCTGCAGATTGACGTTTCGTTGCTTCTTCCCTTTGCCTTCTTGTTTCTTTTCACCTTCAGAGCTATGACCGAGCAGAGGTTCTGAGATGTTGACTACCTCGGTATGATGGTGTTTGTCATCATGATTCGAGTGCACCACAGGATGATGAATATGATGATGAGAGTGATGTGTGGTCACAGTAATCCCATGGTTATGTGTCTCATCATGATCCTCATGTCCATGACCATGGACACCATGGCCATGCCCATGTCCGTGATCATGCCCATGATCATGACCTAATAAGAGTGCCATGGCGATATTCACCACTAAACCAAACGCAGAAACAACAAACATGAGAAAGCCCTGAACTTCACCAGTGTCATGGATAAGTCTTGCAATGGCTTCATAAACAAGGATCCCAGCAAGCAGCCAAATCATCTGAATGGAAACAAGAGCACCAAGTATTTCAATCCGGAAGAAACCGTAAGACTGACGAGGAGTCGCCTCCCATCCTGATGCCCAAAGTGAGAATAAAGAAATTGCAAATGCAGCAACATCTGACAATAAATGAGCCGCATCAGTGAGAATTGCAAGACTGTTGGCTTTGATACCCCCAACAACCTCCACACTCATGAAAATGACACACAGGATAACCGCTATCAAAAGCTTCCGCATGGACGCTGACCGTTCCTGTGCATCTTTGGAACTGGTTTTAGCATCTGAAAATCCGCACGGTCCATCTCCACAAATTTTTCTCCCACCCAAGCTCGTATCCATATCTTGCACATCACCACATACTTCAATCATATGCGAATTCCCAGAATTTTGAGCTTCCATCTGAAAGGCAACAAGACATGTAAAGAGACGAGGCCTTGGTCAATTTTATAAAGCAAATGCTGTAAATCTTTGTTAGATATAACCATACAAATCACATGCTAATTAATAAAAAAAAAAGGCTTGAGAACAATAACAGTGGGAGAAAGACAACATGTACTGCACTTCAAATCCGAAAATTAGCCCATACGCCAAAAGTGCAAGGAGTTTACAACCAAAAATTTGCAACAAGAATCAAGCCACAAACAATTGAAGGGAGGAAAGTACTGAAAATTGTATTTAGTATTTTTCTGTGTAGAAGCATTTTAGGCAGTGCTCCTTCATGTACGTCAAGCACCGTGACCCTTTCGACAACAAACATATGGTATGATTCGTAGAAGCATAAACAATATACATCACTGCAACATTATTGCTTATACAATAACCACTACCTACTTAGTTGAAGAAAAACACAGTACAGCTACCGCCTCATCACGAAAATTCGATTCAGATACATTATACATAAGACTAAACTGAAAAAAAAAATCATGAGGTAAACATGAAACAATATAGAGGAGAGGGTATGATTGAGCAATCCTCTGTCAACAAAGTCCTTAAACTAAAAAAAATTAGAACAAAATCCTAAACTTTCAGTGAGAAGCAAAACAAAGGACACCAATCTTAAGCAAGCAGATAAAAGCAATCAACAGAGAATGCGTACCTTAATCAAAGAACATAAAAATCATATAAATTATGGAAGCTGATCTTTCAAAAACCCAACTTGCAAGCAAGAAAACTTTATATTCATGGGCAACGTGAGCATTAACACAACCAACAAAAATCACGAGACTCATCAAGCAACTTCACCTAAAAAGTGCAGAAAAAAACAGAGGAAAATCCAAAACATGTAATCCAATCCAATCCAACAGAACCCAAATGAGATAACATTGAAAACACTAACTCTCCCTCGATTTCAGGATCTGGGTAATCGAAAAGACATCGGATTTATGGATTTCAACACATAAAAATCGAAACTTGAACAATGAAATAATGAATCCAGATAGAGAGAGATACCTCTGAATGCAGTACTGCTCAATAGGGGGAGTAGAAGCAGATAATAGAGACGGATCTTTGGTTTTATACAATTTGACCTACAAAAGAACGGCGGGGGTCCTCAGATTCTCGGAATATTATTGAGGCTTGGAAGTTGATATTGATGGACATATTATATATAATGTGCGTGTGTGTGTGTATATATATATATATGTATATATGTATGTATATATTCAAAGATAATGGGCTGAAAATCCCAACTTCGTGTTTCAGATGGGTGTAGAAATTAGAGTGTAGAGTCTAGGGTTGTGTAAATATTGGCTGTCCTTTTTTGTTGATGATTTGCATTCCTTGTTTGCTTCTCAATCAATGACAATAAAGGACTGATTTTATTATTTTGCTTTTAAAAGGCTTTCGGCTTTTGGGCCGCCAATCCTTGGTTTGTTTTGTTTTCTCGGTATTTTAGTCCTTTCAACAGTCTAATAACATTTTAATAGTCGCTGTCTCCTTAATGATTAGTTTTATACTAATACAATAAGAATCTGGCTCATTTATTAATTCGTATATAAAGAGAAATTGGAATCAGATTTTTGTTAAAATTGTTTATTTAAATTTTTAGAAACAATATTGAACTATATAAAGTTATTTAGTAATTCATGTCAATCGGAATGAATCAATTTGTTTACTAAAATGCTCCTATTCTAGTAATCTATTTTATATGCTAATTCTTTTATTTTGATTCATTTTTTTGGTAAAACTTTTATTTTAATTTCATGAGAAAACTTTAAATTTAATTATTTTTTACCTGTGTTTTATTGATTGAACAAAATTTTTAATTCCCAATATTTAGTAAACACTGGAGTACTCCAATCGAAATTTAGTTTCGTATTTTTATTCTGATTAGCCTTACGTAAACGTATCACAAATTTTATACAAACTAAAATGGCATTTTTTTTTTCTCTCTTAATTTCTGAAACACATACATGCGTGTGTATGGTATCTTTTTTTGTGCATATATTCGATCGAACGAAACCCAACATCGTCTCCCCCGCAAAACATAGAAGAGGAGAGAAGATAATTGTACCTTGGTCCCAGACTAGATGATTGTGGAGGTTTTCTGTGAATCTTCTAACAATATTGACGGTTCGATTTTCGTTTTTTGCAGGACCAGTGGGAATACAACCATTTGAATTATGTGAAAAGGAAAATGGGAACGTTTATCATATACAGCTTACTTTTGTTTTGCAAAGATGCTGTTTCTACGATTTGGACTTGTGACCTTTCAGTAAAAAATAAGCAACATTTTCATTGCACTGTAGTCATATTAAGTAAAAATTTGATAAATTCATCAATTCTTCATCCTTGTTGCACAACTTAGTTTTGATAGAACACCTTCTTATGCGACTTTGTTATGAAAAATAGGCTTTTTAGAAAGGGAATTATTATTGTCACTCCAAAAATCTCATTTTGCACTTCAATCTTTCTATAATTAGAAATAAAAGTACACTTATGAGGAGCATCGAATGAGACTTTTGGAGTGCTAATAATAATTCCTTTCAGAAAATTCTAAAAAAAAATGCAAAAGCATCTTCAACATCTTAACTTTGAGTTCACATTATTGATTTATCAGTTATTAAATTATCAAGGGTAAATTACATTTTACCCTCTCAGGTTTGGGGTCAATTTTAATTCCTTACAACATCTTTAAAACATTTCACTTTCACACCTCAAGTACTATTTTATTTCAATTTCATACATCCATTAGAAAATTTGTTAAGTAAACCGTTAAGTGATGATGTGGCAAATAAGAGGTCCCCATTTGTGCTAATGTAGCTGCCACATTTGTGTAACGTGGCTAAATACTTAATAAAAATTTTAAAATAATTAATTAAGATAAATAAAAAAGCCAAAACCCAGTTCGTCTTCCCCACCCAAGCACACCCCCAACCCAGAATCCCCCTTACGCTAACACTCCTCACCACCCTCACCGAAGTGCACAACATCACATGCCAACCCTCCTCCACTCTCCTCACTCTCTCTCTCGAACCCTAAACCCTCCAAAATCCCCAGATCCAAAATCCCCAGTTCTCGACGTTCTACCACTACCTCACCCCTCGCCCACCTTGCCGCCGACATCATGACCGCACCACCATCACCATCTGCGACGTCGACAACTGGGGAATGTTAGCCCTTCCCTCCAAGCACCGGTGGTTTTTTTTTTTTTTGGGTAGGTTTCATACAAAATAATCTGGGTTTTTTTTGGGGGGGGTGGGGTGGGGTGGGGGGGGGTTGCAGAGAGGTCGGGGTGGGGTGGGATGGGATGGGGGATTTGGGTTGCAGGGAAGGGGTGGGTTTTTTGGATAGGATGGGAGGTGAAGAGAGGAGAGGGAGAAAGGGTCGGGAAGATGGTTTCAGGTTTTTATTTTTTATTTTTTTTAGTAGAGTAAATTATTATAATATTTTAAATGCATAATTTTTTTTTACCACGTGTCATAAATTTAGCAGCCACGTCAGCTTTTAACGGACTAATAGATGGAAAATGTAACGAATGTATGGAATTGAAATAAAATAGTACTAGAGGTATGAAGGTGAAATATTTTAAAGATATTATAATGAATTGAAATCGATCATAAACTTAAGAGGATAAAATGCAATTTACCCAATTATCAAAGTTCTACTGTAATTAGTACTTAAAAAAATAAAATAAATATCTATCTAACGAAAAGTATCGAGTGGATAAAGTGTATCAATCAGCACCCAAGTATAATCCTAAAAAAGTAAATGAATTTAGTTTCCGAAAAAAAAAAAAGGTAAATGAATTTATGATGACATAGCACTTTGAGTTGGTTATCAACAATGTTATCTTCCCTTTACCAAAAAAAAAATGGGTGTGCTATCTGTACACATTTTTTACTTTTCACATATTTTTTGTTAATTTTTGTCTATTGATATTTTTTAATTCATCCGATCTAACGGTTGAAAACCAAAAAAATATGATAGAAGTAAAAAATGATGTGTAGATATCACACCAAAAAAAAACACAATGCTATCTTCCACAGCATGCGGATGAATAATCCATTTTTTCAAATGTCAATTTTCTTATTTGGTCAATGGCACAATTATTAAACGCAACGCACACAAAAAAACAGGGGCAATCAGACTCATATTCCACCGAGTCTTGCTCAATTTATAAATCCAGATTCCAAATCCAAATAATGAAGCTGAATAATAACAAAAAGGTAGATTGGTCGTTAAGGTCTGCTCATTACATTTTGGGTTCGGAATCTTCCTGTTTTTAGTGTAAAATGTCGTTTGTATTATAAAAAAGTCTATTGACACTTTTTTTTCTCTTAAACAGAGACCAGTTGGTAATTTCGTCGCGGTAGTTCATTATTACGGGGATCGAAAAGACTCACAGAGGCAATTTAACTTTGTCTTGTCATCATTGTGCGATTCACCAACACAAAAAATTGAACTTAGGACTTACTGTGTGGAATACATACTTAAAATTCATTTCCAACCATTGCGTCATCCCGCGGTGGTTCCTGACACTTCTCCTCAATGTTGAAAGAAATTTCAAGTTCAATTTCTGGATGACCAGATAATTACCATCAACTAGGTTACAGAGTGCTTGAATTCTAAAACTCAACCCAAGGACCAGGGGATGTAGATCACTCATTTTAAGTTTTGCCCACATTAACCCATGGCCCACCTTACACAAATCAAGGATCCGAATCTTTCTCTTCAACGGGCCAGATCTTCTGGTCGTTGGACCCCGGAAACAAAGATCAGAAAGGATCTCAATTCCCTCATTCCCAGTTGATCACAGATTGCTTGAAGTAGAAGTCAGCTTTCGCTTTATCATCCAATAACCGCAACAATGGACCTGGAGGGACCCAAAAATATGGTAAAAAGATGTCACGAGAAAAGAAACCAGAGCAATATGGAATAAAAGGAAGAAGAATTAGAATTTTATAACCAATAACGAAAACTGGAGGTGAGAGTTTTTACATGCTGACTTCCATCAGTCCTGTAGAATCTTACAATATATGATTTAAGAAACAAGCCTAATCGAGGATACAAAATGTTGGGAGCAGAATTACAGCAGAGCTTCCTTCTTTTTGGGTTCTAGAACAGGAGGGTCGACATCGATCCCCATATTAGCTGCAGTGCCTGCTATGATTCTCATTGCGGATTCTATTGTCGTGCAATTCAAGTCCGGCAGCTTTTCTTGCGCAATTGTTCGCAGCTGATCAATGGTGACCTTTCCCACTTTCTCCATCTTCGGGTCTTTTGAACCTTTATCCACTCCTATATATCATCCACAGCATTGATAAACAAGTATTGCATTATTATGGTAACCAAATTCAGGCAAGGAAGAGCTTTTAATGAGGGCAATATTGTTATGTGACTGGTCCTATGATGAACATAGATGAGGTGACAACGATATCGGGACATTGTTGATACTATGTTGATATTGTGGGTTCTTAAATAAAGAATGAACGTCCTACACAGAGAACTTATGTACTATAATAAACAAGCCGAACTAATTCAACCAGTCGAGAACAGTGATATTTCTCAAAACAGTGGCTAACAGATATAATCAAAACCAATTAAGTTAACTTCATCTAATCTTCACTCTGGAAATTATGGTAGCTGCTCAAGTTTATGGCTCAATCGAATGAGATACTATTCCGAACTAATTGGCAGATGAAAACTCAATGGCCAAATCATAACGGCAAACTCCACATTCCTCACATTTATCAAATTTTCTTCATTTTCTTCATGTAATTCAAAATGCTTCCAACTTTTAACACATCAAAACAAATTCATGAATACCTATTTGGCAATAAATACGGCCAGCCGGCCATGAAAACATCAACACCAATTTTCATTCTACTACTTTCCCTCATTTTTCATGTTTTTGTTTATTGATAAGATATAACATTCTCGAAACAACTTGAGAGCACGAAATACAAACAAAGCTTATCACAAGAACATCTGCATTTATCCACTGCCCGAGCAGCAGCAATTAGAAAATAAACACGGTAACATATCTTCTGGTACAACGAAATGCCAATGCATGAGCAACACATCAAACAGATAGAGGGCACAATGATAGAACAGAAAACAACCATACCTGCAGCCTTAAGAAGCAAAACCGAAGCAGGTGGGGTCTTCAAAATGAAAGTAAAACTCTTATCCTGCCACAAAAAAAATATGATAACAAAGTCGTAATCTTGCAAAAAGTAACCAAATATTTTGAACAATTATACCAAATTCGTAACACAGAGACTAACATCATAGACGGTGATTTCAACTGGAATGACATAGCCGGGCTTGTCCGCCGTCCTGGCATTGTAATCCTTACAAAAAGCCATGATATTTACACCCTTCGAACCCAGCGCCGGCCCGACCGGCGGAGCCGGAGTCGCCTTCCCGGCCTCCAACGCCAGCTTTATCATTCCAATCACTGCAAAACCGAAAACCCATCAACGAAACGAACTCAAATTCGTCGGAGACGAAACAAAATAGGGAATTTGAAATACCCTTTTTGGCTTTCCCGCCCGGCTTGGCTTTCGGCGGAGCCATGGCGGTAACGCTGAGGCGCCGCCGGGTCTGGAATTGGAGGGAGGTGGTGGGGTTGGAGGAGAACATGCTGCTTATGCTTATTGGCGAGCCCCAGAGGGAGGAAGATAGCTGAGTCTTCACATTGTCGCGGCTATTGGTCTTCTGAGAAGAGAGAGAGGAGAGGACGTGGTGGTAGGTAGACACGGAGGACGCCATGGGAGAGGTTTGAGTTCACCGAGTAGAGTCTCAGGAAGGGAGGCAAAGTTTTGGATAAAACCCAGTGGCCTCCTATCTTCCAAGAGACGACCCCAATCGCTACAACGCAGAGCAAACGACGTCGTAGGGAGCAGAGTAGTTGCTTGCAAGTTTTAGCGGGTAGCAATCTGTTCATGGCCCAAAATTAGCCTACAGGAGGTGAGCAAATTGAGTTAAATGGGCCACCTTATGATGCGCCTAAATGAAACTTAACTATCAATTACCATCTGATCGTCGAGATGTAAATCATTTAAAAGCTGGTTTAAGCCTGGAGATATGCTAGAGGGTATGCTTGGTGACTAGGATTGTAGTGAAGTGCATTAGATTGGAGAGAACAACACTAATCTAATCAATTGTTTGGTGATAACAAGATTAAAGTAGTTGGATGAATTATGTCACGAGGTCGAATTGGCCCACTGTAATTGCAATGGAAAAGTTTCTTCTTTACTAATCCATCTCCTCCTCCTTCCAAGTTAATCATGATTTTTTTATTTTTTTCTTCAACATACAATGAAAATAACATCTTTACTATTCTTTTCCGTTCCAATATGATTTTTTATACCAAACAAGACCTCAATTAGTCTTCCAAAAAAAAAAAAAAAAAACAAGATCTCAATTTGGTGCGCAGGTTAAGACAAGATTGGAATTAAGTCCCATACCGTATAAGTTGGCCACTTGTCCATTTTAATGAATCAAGTTTCCATGTTAATAGTATTTGTCATGTTCTGACCAGTTGGCCAAACAAGGTACAATAATGTAATCAATACAAGAGTGTCCATGAATTTCTCTTAAAAGGGACATAATTCATTAAGGTAGTGTTGTAGGCCTACTTAATATGGAGGGAGAAAAAAAGTGTGGAGCCAAAAATAATCAAGAGGCGACACGTGGATTTTTAGGTGAAGAGGACAAAATTACCCTCGAGACACATCGAGTTTCCTACACGCGAGCAGTGGAGAATCATCCATCAACCGAGTCAAGAGTGCCCAAAATAGGTAATAAGTTTAAATTTATCTCATCCATCTTTACTCCATGTCCTCTACAAGGAAATCATTCCATAACCTTTAAACCTTCCATATAAATTAAATTAATTAGGCTAATTAATGGATTAATTCCAAATTAATCCATTAGTCACCAAATTAATCACCATTACACCCCAAAAAAACATTCAAGGGCCGGCCACTCTCTCTTCCAAAGAGGGCCGGCCATGATCTATAAATAGGACTCCATTTTCTTTGAAAGACTAGTTCCACACTCTTGCGAAACTCCCAAAAACTCTCCAAACATTTTTCTCTCTAAATTCTAATTTTGGCATCGGAGGTTCTTCGGCCAAAGCCCCCCCATTCATCGTGGGCGCATAAGGCTTTTGGCCTTGACTTAAGGTGTTGATTGTTTTGTAGGTGCAATTTTGTCCAAGAAGAAAAAGACGGAAATTTGCATCTACAGAAAGGGTGCGATGGGAAGAGAGAGAAGAGAGATTTGAGGTGTGTATCATCTCACTTCATTGTGTCTTTAATTATAGTAGTAAGAAATGGAGAATCCTTACCTTTTATGTAATACATCTTAGTTAGGACACTATCTAAAAGATGCTATATAATTCCATAAGGATTTACACAATTACATTTTTAATTAAATTAGGAGAGCAACCCACTCCCCCTGAGTGTGTAAATACTTAAACAAAATGTCTCACCAGGTCTTTAGTGATGAAAGTTAGAACAATTGATGAACTCACAAAACAGGAATGTATAAGTAGTAGAACTCACAAACAGGAATGTATAAGTAGTAGAACTCACAAAACCTCGCTATGGTGAAACCAGTGTAGGATAAAAACTCATAATCTAAAGAGAAAAAATAAAAATTTGCATGAAGTTAAAACTAAACACCTTTAGGACGCATGTAGAATGCACACAAAGGTATGACCAGCCTTGAATGAGTGCCTCGTTAAAACCTTGTCAACTAGCAAAAACCTAAAGGGGAAAATACTCCTAATCATAGGGAAAATAGCACATTAAGACTAGGTGAGTACACTTTTGGATACTCCTCCTAAGTTTTACAAAACTTCCAAATGAGAACTACAAACAATTCAAATCAGGTAACTTACGCATATCAATTCTTTGAACAAGTTTTTGGAAAGTATACTTCGACAATGACTTTGTAAAGAAGTTGGCTAGGTTGTCCTGGGAACAAATTTGCTTGAGTTTAATTTTCTGATGCTTTTGTTGCTGATTTGAAAAGAAGAATTTATGCACAATATGATTGGTGTTTTCTTATTTGATGTATCCCTTTTTATCTAATCGATATAGGCAGCGTTATCTTTAAATCATTGTAGGAACATCAACGATAGAAGAAAGTCTGCAAGTGCTTTGAATATGCTCCATGATGGCTTTCAACCAGAAGCATTTCACGAGTAGCTTCATGAGGGCGAGAATTTCAGCATGGTTCGAAGAAGTCGCAACTAAGGTCTATTTGGTTGACCTCCAAGATATTGCGGGTATTTCTAATAGTAAAGACATAACTCGTTTGAATATATGCCTTGTGCGGGTCAAATAAGTAACCTGCATCAACATACCAATAAGGCAAGGTTGAATACCTTCTTGGTATCGAAATGGCAACGTCTCACAAAGGTTTGTTCTTGAACCTAAGAAAATATATGTCGATTTACTCTAAAAGGCTAACATGCTCGACTGCAAACTAGCCACGACGCCCCTTGATTGCAAGTTAAAACTTCACCTGGATGGAGAGTTACTTAAGTTGTGTTATATTATCAAAGGCTTGTAGGCAAACTCATTTGCTTTACTATTACCCAACCCAATATCACTTAGGCAGTGAGTCTTATTAGTTAATTCATGCATGCTCCCATTGTAAAACATCCCCTTGTTGTTAAAAGGATCTTGCGTTATCTCAAGGGTTTCATTGATCGTCGTATCCTCATGCGCAATGCTCTTGATTGGAAATCCACCACAGGGTATTGTACCTTTGTTGGGGGAAATATTGTCACTTAGAAGAGTAAAAAACAACAGGTTATTGCTTGATCGAGTGCCGAAGCAGAATACCAAGCAATGACTTCTACTGCTTGTGAACTCAATTAACCCAAAGGTCTCTTACAAATTTGGGATTTTCTAGCAGTGAACCATTGTCCCTCGTGTGTGATAACCAAGCTGCCATGCATATTGCAGGTAATCATGTGTTCCATGAACGAACAAAACACATTGAAGGGGATTGTCACTACATTAGGGCACAAGTTTAGTCCAAGGTTATTCAGACAGTCTTCACTTGTAGCCACAATCAACTGGCTATTTTGTTTATCAAAGGCTTGGCCTTTGTTCAGTTTCAACATCTCTTTGGCAAGCTCGGCTTGATTAATCTCCTCGATTCAGCTTGAGGAAGAGTATTGATAGTCAATGAGGCTTCTAGTTATCAGCATCGATACCTTCTGCATTCCTTAAACTAATGTGGCTCTTATTGGTTAATGTGTGACTAATTTAATTTGATGTAACTTTCTTTAAATTAAGGAATATTGTTGTAAGAAGTTAAGGGTCATTAGTTAGGACTTAGTTAAAGAGAGATTGCGTGTAACTATAACTCCCAACATAAGGAGAAGTATAATACTAGGGAGACTAAATTTTTAAAACCAAATTTGCAAATCAAATGATGTGATTGTTTATGATTGGATTATTACTTAAGCGTTGATTAAAGTACTTATTTCCTATTAATGACACATTATTTGGTTTAAAATTTTGGTCTACTTAGCATTAGGCAATAACTTACAGAGTAATACTAGGGAGACCAAATTTTTTAAACCAAATTTACAAACTAAATGATGTGGTTGTAGATGATTAGATTATTAACTAAGTGTCGATTAACGTACTTGCCTCTTATTGGTGACACATAATTTGATTTACAAATTTAGTCTCCCTAACATTACTATTAAAAATTTAGTCTCTCTAACATCACCTTAACTTAAAATTCCACAAAAATCAAATCAACTCTCTATTGAAGATGCGTGGTCTTATCTAATTGGGTGATCTCTTCTTTATTTGATTCTATAATCTTTTCTAATTGCATAATCTTCTTTTTTAAGTTGTTTCCAGAAGTTCTCTCCCGTTTGGTGAGAGTTTTTCTCTCTGTGATAGGTTTTCTCACTGGTCTGTGAGTGCTTGCCATCGTTGATTACTTCTCGTAGCAGCTTGCTTTAATCATGGCTAGAGTTGGTAGCAGCCATTTTCTCCTATTTTCTCTTTTGTATGTTTCCTTCCTTAGCCCCCAACCTCTGTTTTACCTTGCCTTTTAGCTTGATTGTCCATTTTTCCTTGCATTTGATTTCACTCTTTTCAGCCCTAAATCATGTTATCCATTTCCTTCCACTTTCTTGTTTTTCATCAATCTACTTCATATCCTTCTCAATTGGCTATGTTCTTCATCGATCCTGCAACCTGGATTGTCACCCATTTTTCTACATCGCAATTTCTCATGATTATCTCGGAATGTTTGTATAGCTCCAGCTCGGGTGTTCACACCACTTCCTTCATTCGATTTACCTTTGGTGGCTCTGTTGTTGGTGGGATTATTCCTACTGACTTCTTTTATGGTGTGGTGGCGATCGTTGTCGTGCTTGGTGCAGTGTGGAGCCATCACTATCTTAATTTTGGGGGCTTTGTTTGCCGTGATTTCAGATGTACGCTGGAGACATTGGTTTTTTTACAGTTAGGTTGTGGCGTTCAGGCAGTGGCGGTGGTTGGATGCTGCTAGGGTTTCTTCTTCGGTGTGTTTTCTGTTTTGGGCTCATAATTTTGATTTTTTGGGCCTTGTTTTAGTGTATTGTGGAAGTCCTTATTTTGGCTTTGTGTTTATTGTATTTGAGCTTCTTCCTTTGTAATTATGGTTTGTTAGTAATGAAGTTATCTTTTACTCCAACACCTGTGTCTGACTCAAATATTTATTTAACATAAACCTAAAATTATTGAGTTTGTCATTCATTTAGGAAAAAGATTCTCTTCGGATCCACTTTGTGGGGATCCCTACATCCTAGTCGTTCATCGTACATCGTACAACCAATTTTTATCAGATATTATTTGTGTTTAAT